GAGAATGGCGTAAACCTGGGAGGCGGAGCTTGCAATGAGCTGAGATCTGGCCACTGCACTCCAGCCTGGGCGACGGAGCAAGACTCTGTCTCAAAAAAAAAAAAAAAAAAAGAAATGTCACTGAGGTAAGTGAATGAGGGTATGGGTAGATATTTATGCAAAAGCCTGTTCATCAGATTTGTTTAGAATAATGAAAAGTGGGGAATGGCCCAGTAGTGAGGAGCTGGTAAGTGAAGGGACCTGTACACCCCTACAGTGGAATATTACAGAACCATGAATAATGAATTGGTAGGCCAGGTGCAGTGGCCTGTAATCCCAGCACTTTGGGAGATCGAGGTGGGAGGATCACTTGAGCTCAGGAGTTCGAGACCAGCTTGGGCAACATGGAGAAACCCCATCTCTACAAACAAAATTACAAAAATTAGGCAGGTGTGGTGGTGCTGCGCCTGTAGTCCCAGGTACTTAGGAGGCTGAGGTGGGAAGATCACTTGAGCCTGGGAGGTTGAGGCTGCAGTGAGCCGAGATCGCGCCCCTGCACTCCAGCCTGGGTAACAGAGCGAGACCCCGTCTCAAAAAAAAAGAAGAAGAAGAAAGAAATGTTGGATGATTGTTTTGTTTCTGGAGAGCGAGCTTACCAGTTCACCACTGACCACACGTGTCAGGTGCCTTGGCTGGTGGTAATGGTAATTCTCTTCTCTTCCCCGCTTTGCCGAAGACAGAAGTCTTCATTATCCAGTGAAGGAGCTTCCCAAAGGTGAAGTGCCACCCTGGTGGAAGGTATTTTTGTCTGGTGTGGCCCATGGCTCCTCCAGGCCCTCCTTTCCCTCAGCCCTGCCCCACACTCTGGAAGCCCTGCCTCAGTCCAGAGTCTCCTGCACCCCAGCCCGGGGCCAGGCGAGCTGGTTGAAGCCAGCACAGGCAGCTCCTCCGAGCCTGCTCATCGAGGATTTGACAGTCAATGTGCGACTTGCGGTCTGAGGGTGGCCCTGCCTCCCTTTGCCACTACTTAAGAAAATAATTCATAATAATTAATGAATAAACTGGGTTTACTGAGAGCCATTTACCACAAAAGGCCTCAGGGTACACTGCACTCAAGCATAATTAAAAGTGGCATCTTTTAAACGTCAATTTGAAATGGAACACTGGCTTGGTTGCCCAGTACAGTCTGGGCCTCTCTCTGATTCCACCTTTGCAGATGGAGCCTGAGATGATGGGAGGAGGAGGGGAGGTTGGTCTTGAGAGTGAGGGTACAGCCAGAAACCGTGGGGAGGACCTGGAGGAGTGTGGTCCCAAAGATCAGAGTGGGTCTTCAGTCTGAGAGGGCTGGTGCAGCCATGGCCACCAGCAGGGAGGGAACAGGGTGGCCTGGAAGCAGGTGACCGTTTGCTACAGAGGGAGAGGATGAAATCCCTGGTGCCAAACTCAGGCCACTTGGCCCCTGCATGCCAGCTGAGTCTAAAGGGAACAGGTTTCCCCTGTTAGGCCCAGTGCCCTGTGCTCCTTCTCTGGCCAGGGATGGTGATTCATTCATTCATTCATTCATTCATTTATCAAGAGTTTATTGAGAAGCTGCTGCCTGCAAGCACCACTCTGGAGATACAGCTGTGCACGAAAGAAGGCACCTGCTCTTGGGGAGCTTATAATGCAGTTGGCAGAAGACAGACAATAAACAAATATTTCATACATGTCATAGAGAAACTCATAGCAAGAGGGCGAGGGAGTGTGGAAGGTGGGAAGGTAGTCCTGGGTTTCTAGGGAGATCTCAAGGACATGACATTTGGGCAGGAAGTGAGGGAGTGAGCTAAAGGGACGGGCATCCAGGTAGCAGGAACAGCCTGTGCAAAGGCCCTGAGGCAGGTGCAAGATGGAGGAAAGAGGCTCGCGTGGGTGGAGCAGAGCAGGGAGGGTAGAGTGAGGATCAGACCCATTCTCTGTAAGAGTTGCTGAACTGCAGCCCTGTGGGTGGCCCTGGACTTGACCCTCGAGATATAGTGGTAAACATAGCCATCCTCATCCTCATCCTCAAAAAGCTCAGCGTCTACAGGGAGGGCCCCACCACGGAGAGGCACTTAGATGGGTGGTGGTGAGGTATGCGGCTCCTGGGGGCTTCTGATTGGCCAGGTGGAAGCACTGATCTGAAAAGCCTGGCCAGGCATGGTGGCTCACGCCTATAATCCCAGCACTTTGGGAGGCTGAGGCGGGTGGATCACCTAAGGTCAGGAGGTTGAGACCAGCCTGACCAACACGGAGAAACCCTGTCTCTACTGAAAATACAAAATTAGCCGGCTTGGTGGCACAAGCCTGTAATCCCAGCTACTTGAGAGGCTGAGGCAGGAGAATCACTTGACCCAGGAGGCAGAGGTTGCAGTGAGCCGAAATTGCGCCATTGCACTCCAGCCTGGGCAATAAGAGCAAAACTCCACCTCAAAAACAAACAAAGAAACAAAAGCCTGGGCATCCCGACTTACACAAGGGATAAGCCTGGA